GGACCCGCGGCTGCCGCGGGCGGTGACCGTGCGGGAGCTGGGCGGCTGCATGGGCCCCATCTGGCACAGCTACTACAGCGAGTGCAGCGCTCTCCTGGTGAGCAGCACCGCGCACCGGCCCGGGGCCACGGTCCCGAGGGGAGAGGGGCTTCCGGGGCTGGGGTCGGCCGGTCCCCTCGGTTTCGCCCCGTGGTGGGATCTCCCTCCTCCGTGCCCTGCTCTGGCCCAGCCCGGGCCGGGGTTGCTCTCGGCACACTCGCACCCTGCTTTTCCTTCTGCCCTCCAGTTCGTGGTGGATGCCTCCAACCCCAGCCAGGTCTCCTCGTCCTGCGTCCAGCTGCTCTCTGTCCTCTCTGCAGCGCCGCTCGCCTCTGTGCCCGTCCTGGTCCTCTTCAACAAGATGTGAGGAGGAGGATCAGCCGAAGGCTGGGGATGCCAGGGAGCAGCGGCTGTGCTTTGCTGCACTTCCCAGGCTAGAGTCCCCTGAGCCGGGACAGGGGAGCCATCGTGGCTGGCTGATGCAGCTCCCCTCTCCCCATTGCAGTGACCTGCCCTGCTACATGTCACTGGTGGAGATGAAGTCACTGTTCCGCATGCAGGACATCGTGTCCTGTGCTACGCAGCCCATCACGATGCTGGAGACCAGCGCCCGTGATGGCACCGGCCTGACCGATGTCCTGCAGTGGCTTCGGACCACCCTCAAAGACCCCTGCTGACCCCAACCCTGCCAGGTGCCTGTGGCAGCCCTGGACAATCCTGTCACAGGAGGTGGTGAAGGAGCAGCTGCCCTGCCTGGGGTTGGGAGCAGAGCCCAGGACAGTGCCTTGGGCTGTTGATGGACTGGATCCCTGTAGGACTTCACAGTAAAACTCCCACTGAACTGTCCAGGCTGGTGGCTGCCCTGTGCTCGAGGGGAAACCCTTGGCTTTTGGGGAACAGACAAGCAGAAGCCACAGAGGCCAGACCATGCTGGCACCTCAAGGCACAGGAGGGGTTCCTGCAGTGGGGCTGGGGGCTGCAGCAGCACCTGGGGTGCTAAGCATGGGGTGGATCAGGTCCCCTGGGTTTAAGACTGAGTGCATGTGGGGCTCCTGCCAGCAGCTCTGTCTGTGTGAGCCCAGGCACAGTGGGGTGACCTTGGGGAGGGTGTGGAAGGACGGGGCGACCTGGGTGGGTGTCAGGAGCTAGGGCACAGCCAGTGACTGGGGTGCTTCAGTCAGGGATGTCTCACAAGCTGCAGCAAATGCCAGCCCACAGCTGCTCTCCAGCAGTCACCTGGGCTCAGGCAATCTCAGAGTGGGTCATCCCAGAGGACATGGCACAGGCTTGCATCCAGACAGTTCTGGACTATCTCCAGTGAGGAAAACACCACACCCTCTTTGGGCAGTCTGTTCCAGTGTGCCGCCATTGGCACAGGGAAGTTCTTTTTAGTAGAATATCATAGAATATTGGAGGGGACCCATCAAAATTATATTCAGGTGGAATGTCCTCTACATCATTTCTGCCTGTTGCTTCTTGTCCCTTTGCTGGGCACCATGGAGTAGAGCCTGGTCCATCCACTGACACCTCCCTGCTGACAGATGGTGAGGTCCCCTGTCAGTTGTTTCTCCTCAAGGCTGAACAGGCCCAGCTCCTGGAGCCTGTTCTCATTAGAGAGATGCTTCAGTCGTGTCACCGTCACTGTAGCCTCTGCTGGACCTGCTCCAGGAGTACCATGTCCCTCTTGTCCTGAGGAGCCCAGAACTGGACGCAGCACTCCAGCTGTAGCCTCATGAGGGCTGAGTGGAGGGGCAGGACCACCTCCCTTGACCTGCTAGTGATGCTCTTGCTAATACACTGCAGGAAGAGGTGGGGCTGCAGAGAGAACCTGCCCTGTGCCCACACCACTGAGCAGTGTCTGTCCATGCTGGGCCTGTGCTCACGCTGATGGCCCAGCCCAGCTGGGCAGGCAGCTGCTGCAGCCGGCAGCCCTGGTGCCAAGTCACAGGGCACTGGTGGCTGCCCGTGCCTGGCACATGCCACAGCACACCCTGCCCTGTCAGTGCTGTGGCAGCTGCCATCCCAGGGCCTGGAGCTGCCAACAGCATGACATGGAGGGGAGTGGTTCTTGGTGCTGGGGGCTGCAGCCTTTACACCGTGATGGTGAGTGCCAGTGTGGTGACAGTGGCCTTTGCTCCAGCAGGGGAGAACTGGGCTCTGCCCCAGGCAGCCCCATGGGAAAGCAGCTGGTGCAAAGGAGCCTGAGCACACCCTGACACCGCTGCTGAGTCACCACCATCAATAGCACTGACAAACCAACCCTACCTGCCTGCTTCCAGCCCAACAGGTCCTGACACCAGCCAGAGCACTCCTGCACAGCAGCACTTTAATGGGCCAGGTCAGCTTGAGCCCACAGGGTCCCTGCCCAGCCCAGCATTAGGCATCGTGGTGATTCTTCCAAGTCCGTCCGACCATCCGGTGCAGTGGGTGCAGGGCTGCTGGGGTGACCTTGTTTGTGGGACTGGAATCAGCCAGCTGCTCTCCTGCTGAGCCAGGCACTGGGCTGGAGCTGGGTCCATGCCTGGCAGCTCCTGGCTCCATGCTTGCTGTCCCTAGGCAGTGTGAAGGTGGTTGTGGAGAAAGCTCCATGGTCCACAAAGGATTCAGAAAATAGCCCAGGCACATGGGCAAGAGGAAGAGCTGAAGTAGTGAGCCCCCACGGAGCAGGGGTGTGCTGGACAGGCAGTCCTGCATGGAGCTGTGCCCTGGGGTGTGACAGCAGTCCTGCTTCCGTGCCTACTGCATCCCAGCAGCTCCAGGCAGCAGAAGCAACTGCACCCCTGTGATGCAGCATTCCCAGTGACATGGCCCAATGGGTCCTTGGCAATGGCAGGAGGGGAGTATCTTCCCCAGCACTCCATGGTCCCCCAGCTTCCAGGGCTGACAGATTCAGTCCCAGCTGCAAGCAGAGTTGGTTCCATCCCATTCTTTCCTGCGGAGCTTCACACTAGGAGGACAGAGTCCCTAAGATCCCAAATGGCAGAGGGGACTCCTAGGTGTCATCTCTCTCTGGGCCCTTGTTCCACACTTGCCTCCATCCTCCTCCTTGTCCCTGGGCCTCAGTAACACTGAGGATCGTGCATCCCTTGGGAGAGGCAGAGGAGCATCCGTGCTCAGCACGGCTGAGCTCTGGGTGCCCTGGCAGCCCCACCCCACTGCCCTTCATGCTGGCCTCACCTGGGACTCAGAAACATCTGTCTCTGTTTGTAAACGGAGTGGAGCTTCTGAATGAGAAATACCTTATCTTCCCCTTCCTGCAAGATCAGAGACTGCAGTGAGCAGCAGTGGGGTGGCTGAGTGGCAGCACTGCTGGGGCCAGAGCCTGAACTGGAAGTGCTGGGACTGGGCCAGGCTGTGGGGACGGGCAGGGGCAGTGCTCACGCACGTTGGCAATCTGCTCCTGGAGCAGGCAGATGACCCTCTGGCGGCCTCTTACCACCTGGATGTTGAAGTAGATCACAGCTCTGCAACGACAGCAGGGATGGTGGCAGCCAGGCAAGAAGCTGAGGGACACTGTGCTCCTGGCACTGAGACTGGGCACAGGGATCTGGAGTGACACCTTGGCTCCCAGCCCCACTCATAGCTGTGACAGCAGGACCCTCAAAACGGGCCCAGGGTGCAGCCTTGGGCTCAACTCCATACTCACATCAGGGCCACAGACATGAAGAACAGGAGGCTGGTGTTCTCCAACAGATGCTGGTAGAACCAGGTAAACCAGGTGATATTGGGGTTGGACTTCTCCAGCACTAGCACCCAGTTCTTCCCTGACTTGTAGATGGTTTCCAGCCCCCGGAAGGGACCGCAGGTTTCTGATGGCTGCACCCTGAGCAAACAGACAGCAGGGCGTTCAGAGCAACGGGCAGCCCAGCAACTACAGGCTGCAGCCCAGGGCACTGCCTGTCTCAGATGTCCAGCTCTCCAGGGACCCAGCCTCACTGTGCCTGGCATCCCCAGGGCTGGGCAAGGGAGTCCTCATCCCTGCCTCCTGCACCAGCAACAGCTGGAGAAAGTGAGCACAGGCCAGCAGCTGGGAGGCAGCTCCCTTGCCTGGGGCAGCACCTCACAGCCTGCAGCTGGGGGATGCCAGGGACAGGGGCCATGGTCTCCCCAACCCTTCCTTCTCCAGGTGGCCAGGGGTCCTGTGCCCTGAGCCATGGATACTCACGACCAGATGGTGTAGGAGAGGAAGGCAGCTGCACCCAGGAAGGAGGGGAAGCACAGCAGAGTGATGAACATGGTGCTCATGCGCGATGCTTGCCAGGGCTTGCTGGGGGACTGGCAGTTCCGCATCAGGCTGGTCTGTGGATAGGGAGCAGTGTCCTGTGGGCTGCCAACTCCTGGAGAGCAGTCTGCACCCTGCTGCCCCTCCCT